AAGTACAAGTGCTCAGATGAGATCATATCAATTGCTGCTATGTTGTCAGTTGGAGGTTCTATCTTCTACCGTCCTAAGGACAAACAGGTGCACGCTGACAATGCAAGAATGAATTTTCACACTGGAAATGTCGGTGACCACATTGCTTTGCTAAAGGTTTTGAATATTCCCTTCCTTCCCTTCCCTTCCCTTCCCTTCCCTTCCCTTCCCTTCCCTTCCCTTCCCTTCCCTTCCCTTCCCTTCCATTATCTTTCTATGTTAATTGTTTTTTGCTGTTCCGTGAAGGTTTACAGCTCATGGAAGGAAACAAACTACTCTACACAGTGGTGCTATGAGAACTACATTCAGGTACCGTGCTGTCTCTCTATGCTTATCATTGCATCGAGTTGGATGTGAATCCGTTTGACATTTGTTTTGGGTTGAATATATGGTTCAGGTACGGAGCATGAAAAGAGCCAGAGATATTCGTGACCAGTTAGAAGGACTTCTCGAGAGAGTGGAAATAGAAATCAGCTCAAACCAGAACGAATTGGATTCCGTTAGGAAGTCCATTGTAGCTGGTACTCTCACTTTTATTTTTGCTGATTTTGAAATGTTTTGTATTTTATATACCTCTGCTAATGATCTCCTTGATCAGGTTTTTTCCCGCACACTGCGAAGCTGCAGAAGAATGGGTCATATAGAACTGTGAAGCATCCCCAGACAGTGCACATACATCCCAATTCAGGCTTATCTCAGGTTATTTAAGTCTCACTTTACATAAACCACATATTATATGACTATTTGATAGAATCTTTAAGTTTTTTTTTTAATATTGACAAGTTCTTCGCAATGCTTATTATTGTAGGTGTTGCCAAGATGGGTTGTATATCATGAACTAGTGCTTACCTCCAAAGAATATATGCGACAGGTAATTATTATGTTTCATCATTGCAAGGTTTGATCATAAATGGATCTTTGTTTTGAATTATTTCGGTTTTACTTATCTGGTTTGGTTACATGTAACCCAAAATTGCAGGTGACGGAGTTGAAACCAGAGTGGTTGATTGAGCTAGCTCCTCACTACTACCAGCGCAAGGACGTTGAGGATGGTACGAACCTTTTTATATTTTTCTCATTTCAATTTTATATATATAGTTATTTTATAGAATTGAATCTTTAGATCTCTAACGACAAAACCCATCTTAAAATAAAAATTTCAGATGCATCAAAGAAAATGCCGAAAGGTGCTGGTAAAGCTGCGATCTAAGAACTCAGACTGGAAACAAATGTGGCAGATTGCTAGAAGAGCTCTTTTTTTTACTACATTAGTTTTTTTTTTGGTCAGAGCCTTTTGTTAGAAAATAATTACAATGTTATGAATAGTCCAAATCAGTGACCACTTGTTCTTCACTAACTCTTGGCATCTCAAACACGTGATACAAATCTCCACCTAATTATCATATAAAGCAAACACTGGTTTTCTACTCTAATTTTCAGTTCATGAACTAATTCCTCGGGCTCTCTTTTTAATTCCCTATTTACTACTTATACCAGTGTTATTTGCAGCGTCGCACGGATGTATACTAAGATTAAGGAAAATATAGACGTATCACTTACTAATTAATATGAAAAATCTGGGTCTTGTCTTTAATCCCAAGTATGGATAAGTAGAGACGTGGTGTCACACGGGCCAATTCCGTCCACGTACCCCCCTCCATTGTGGCCTCAAATCTGATAGTGCTGGCTGGCTCTCTTGCGGTCACTAAGGACATCTTTAACCTACTTTATTTTTTATTCCAAACATTATTTTAGAGTAAAATCTTCTTCAATTTCATTCTATTTTCAACTTCAAAATAGAATAATGACGAGGATTACTCTATTTATAGAGTAATTTTGTTCATTACTCCATTTTAACATTAAACTTTTTTATGTATGAAATAATCCTTTAAAGTTTTAATGTTTTTATTTTTTACTTAAATAATATTTTTAATGTTAAAAATGATACAATAACATGAAAACAAGTTATTCCATTATTTAGTAATTGTGTATAAAAATTCATAACATAAATATAAAAACATAAATAATATAAAATAAAGATAACAAAAAAAACAAGTGATTTAATAAATTGGCAAATTGTTTCTGAAATGCATTAGTTGATTATTGGTGGAAAAAATATTATAATGTTCATTACTGAACCAACTTATATATTTTCTTTTATTTTATGTTAATGATTTCTGTACTTTTAATAATAAATGTTTAATTCAAATAAATCATATTTTAAAGAATTTTTGTGAACATATAATAGTTGGGGTTAATTAGTAAATATCTAAAAAGATAAGGTATTATTAATAATTATTAGTAAAATAAATTGAATAATTTTAAAATATAATTTTTAGAGTAAAAAATGGAATAATTCATTGGAATAAAACCCTATTTCATTTTGGTGTTGCATCATTTTGAAGTAAAATATGGGGTAATACATTAAAGATGCTCTAAAACATACTCCCTCCGTTTTATATTAAGTGTCGTTGTAGAGAATTTTTTGTGTTACAAAATAAGTGTCGTTTTCGGTTTTCAATGCAAAATTTATTAATTTTATTATATAATTTATTTTTCTATTGGCTAAAATACGGTTAGGTGTATGGGTAATTGTGTTTTTATATAGGATTTATGTAAAATTAATTGTTTTCTTAATCCGTGTGCATAGTTGTAGAGCGACACTTATATTGAAACAGAGGGAGTATGTTTTTTTATTCTTCAGATACAACATTAATTAAACAGGCCAATAATTTCAAGTAATTAATACAAAGAAATTTGTCAAATATGCAAACAAAAAAAAACATAAATACACTAATTATTCAAAATCATCATTCCTCTCTCCTATTTTCTTTTCTTATCTCTCTATACACTCTCTTTTTTTTTTTTTTTATGACTATTTGGAAAATAAATCGGATAATACGATAGACACTCAAACCTTTCTTCATTTTTAGTACATTTCGCCAACAGAAGGATTAAATCCAAATCCTTCTTAATCGCAGAGAAGGTGCGAGTGACACACCTTTTTATGTCAACGTTTGAGTTACACTTTTGTCCACGCCAACATTAAGATGAGGCTTTTGTTTTCTGCCATACATCTAAAGATAGCACGCAAAAGTTAATAAAAATCCACTAAGAGAGCTCTCTTTAGCATTTTCTCACTTTCCTTTGAGAAAACAGAGAAAAATGGCGCTGAGAATGTGGGCTTCCTCTACAGCAAATGCTCTCAAGCTCTCTTCGTCTGCCTCCAAATCTCATCTCCTTCCAGCTTTCTCCATCTCCAGATGCTTCTCCTCAGGTAAGAGAAAGAAAACAACAACTTGTGTGTTGCATTGCTCTTGTATTAGGACTCTTGTCTGAAAACTCTTACTGGTTGTTTTGGGTTTCAAGTGTTGGAAGGACTTAAGTATGCAAATTCACATGAGTGGGTGAAACATGATGGCTCAGTGGCTACCATTGGCATCACTGACCATGCCCAGGTAACAAAAAACATAGCTCATAAGAACTAGTTTAGATCAGATTGATGAGTGCTTGCCTGAAAAAAGAGAGAATACATATGTTGATGTCTGTGCAGGACCATTTAGGAGAAGTTGTGTTTGTGGAGCTGCCAGAAGAGAAAAGCTCAGTGAGCAAAGAAAAGAACTTCGGAGCTGTGGAGAGTGTCAAGGCCACAAGTGAGATTCTATCTCCAATCTCTGGTGAAGTCATTGAGGTTAACACAAAGCTCACCGATTCACCTGGGTTGGTAAGTCTCTTGTTCTTTGAACGATAACTAAGTGTGTGTGCTAGTGTAGCCCGTATCGAAACTGATGTTAGGTTTTTGATTCGTGGTACTGTAGATCAACGCAAGCCCTTATGAAGATGGTTGGATGATAAAGGTGAAACCAAGCAACCCTGCAGAGTTGGAAACCTTGATGGGTCCAAAGGAATACACCAAGTTCTGCGAAGAGGAAGACGCTGCTCACTAGAGGGATTTCAATCTTTCACTTTCAATGTTTTCGTACCTATCTCTCTCTCTCTCTCAGCTTGTATCTCTGTAATACTAATTTGCTTCAAAGATCATTCAAATAAGAGCTTTTTAACTTTAAACAACCCAAAGAAGAAAAACTTTCATATAGTTGACGAGAGAAAAACGTTAAGATATCACAATGGTCTACTTTTTAAGACCAAACGAAAGCCGTATGCATGGAAAGGAACAGACTTTGATCTGTACAGTTACTCTCCCTATCAGACACCGTTGGGCAAGGTCGGAGAAACAGTTACATCAGGTGAGGGGGACGGTGACTCGTGGTAGGAGATGGAGATCAACTCTGATCTTAGCTTTTCAGCAACTTCAGAGTTGGTTTTAGTGACACCGTTTGTGTTGCTGACAACAGGTTTCACATCTGAAGACGTAAGAGACTCTTGTACCTCCTCTGGTGAAGTGTAGGAGATAGCAATTAGAGACTCACGAGCTTGTTCTTGAGAGATATCGTTTCTGGGTTGTTCCATCAAACAATCAAATGCCTTTACAACCTTCTGCAGAGATGAACAAAAAACCCGTCTTACATTTGTCTATGTTATATAATCACAATTTACATCACACGACAATTCAAAACTTAGTTACATAAAAAATCTTAGAACAGAACATATGTTATAATGTTACAACCAGTCCCTGAAACAAAACCCTGAAACTCCGTTGACCGAGTCAAAGATTAAACCCTCAATATAATCTGAATCCAATTCTGAATCATTTTCGGTTTTTTTTTTTGTTCCTTGCGATTTTCTCGGGAAATAGGATCATAACATATTAAACTTAACTAATTATCCAATTCAGTCACCAAATCCCAATCGAATCGCGCTTTATTTTTTGGGTTCCGACCAAATTTGTTCTTTTTTCTTTCAAAGTTTCCGCATAGAAAATAAATTAAACAAAAAACTGTGTGACGTAAAAGAAAAACAAAAAACAAATTCGATGAAGCGGAGGAGGACGCACCTCGTTAATTCGTACGACAGTTGCAAACGGAAAGTTCGAAGACAAAAGGTTGGATAACTGCGTTTGATTTTTATTTATTGTCCCTTTTTTTACCCAAGAAACGATTATAATATTCTTTGCCAGCTCATTTACACGTCAACAAACTATATGCAATTAGCAAGTGGTTATTTAATTTTAAAACCAGTCTTCTATTTTCTCTCGTATTCTACATTTTACCATCCCAAGTTGATCAATTCTTATTTTTTTATTATCATCAACAATAATAAATATTTATAAAAAATCTTATATTTTTGTCAACATCCTGATAAGTGAGATCAGAAAACTGATAAATAGAAAATGAAAATAAAAGACATCTTTAATTGGAAACACTAGAACTTAGTAGCATATAAACAAGTTTGTAAATGCATAATACCTAAAATTAGAGATATGTTATTTGCCATTATATCAGTACTATATTAAAAGAAAGATATCTTCAATTGTGAGGATGTCACATCCTCAAAAAATAATTAACCAATCAAAAAGTAATATATTGTCACGTCATATAGTTTATCTCCTCTCAAAAAAAAATTGTTCGATACACACAAACCAATAGTTTCTGATTTCTCCACTTCTCCATTATCATTCCAAATCTCTACAATTTCTCCGTTTTTTTTGGTAATAATCACCATTCACTCACTCATTCAATTCCCTTTGTTATCTTTCTATCTCCCTTTGTTTCTCTTCCTATATAATTTTTTTCGTGGAATCTTTCGTCCAACAAAAATCTACAACCTCCATAGAAGAACATCAAGCCATGGCCATGAAAGCCATTAAATCCTCCTGAAAAAAAATTCTGTCTGGGAAGCCAAAACTACTTCTTCGTCTATGGATCGCTCTGATCAAGTTTTTCCTCTCCTTTTATATCATTTGGTTTCAGTTCTATGGAGATATTTAGTTGATAATAACCATAAATCATTATAGAATTTTGAGATTTCAATAGGAATTGACTGGAATCGTAGATGGTTTTTCACAGAGAAAATCTCAGGAAAGTATAAGAGATATTGGACTGAACCATTATGATCCAAAACGAAATTCACTGAAACATCGTTACTTTTATATATGTTTCTCCGATAAATAAAAGAGGAGGTGGAAGATAAGATTAAGAAGGTTGATGTTGAGCTTTGATAATAGAAAAATAAGACCTAGTACTTCTCTAGAAGCTGTCGAAGTCCGTGTTAAGAGGGTTCTGAAGCAGAACAAAATGGAAGAATCATTATACATTTCTTTCTTTATTGAATAGTGTCTCATGAAACAACTTATTTTGTTGTATAAACCACTGAGGCATCAGCCAATTTACAGCAGCATTTTTTTTATTAGCTATGGTGGTTGATAAATGAAGATTTGAAAGTGTTTCTAGATTAGTTGAGCTACGTATTCTGTTTATTCTTGAGTTCAAAGTTTTGGACTTTTTGGTCTCTGAATTTTCACCGTCTTTGAGCTGGTTAGGTTTACCTTCTTTTTCTCTAAAGTTTAGGAATTATTTGGTATTTTAATTTTCATATTTTTTTGTAGGTCTTTCAATTTGGTGGCCTGAAATTATAACGGAAAAAACTGGCTTCTGGCTTTGTTGATCCAATGGGTCACATTTGGAAAGTCTAAGGTAATTTCTTTGTCTTTCTGCTGGACATGTTTCAGTCTTTTGTCATTTTACAATTACTGGAATTTATATAAGTTTTGTGTGTCCTGAATCTAATGAGAACTTCTAGTGGGGACATCAGCTCTTATATCCACCCTCCTTATCGGTCAATCTTTGAAAGACATGAAACAAAAAGGAAAAAATATAAAATGGCAAATTGCTGGAATTTACAGTTAACCCTAAGGAAGATAAACTATTTACGGGTTTTACCAAGTTTAACCGGACGGAAAACCGAATCGAATTTAAATACGAACCAAAGATCATAAAGTAGACTTAACCTTCCCCAATCCAACTTAAACCCTCCGATCCAATCTCGATTTTAACCATCTCGAACCCGAATCCAAATAACCACTCAATTTCGATTTAAACCAAGTCGAGTCTCTCCAATTTCCCCTTTATTTCCATTTCCCCTCTCTCTCAACGGTTTCCCCTAAATTCGAAAACGTAACCCTAGAACATCCCACTTCGATTCCTTCGATTTCCCTTCGATTATTCACCGAAAACGTGTGAATCATGGTTGAAACTAGGCTGGGTAAGAGAAAGTATAGGCCTCCTCCAACGGATCCTCCTCCGCAAAAGAGCGGGACCTCGAAGAACTCGAAGAAGAACAAACCGAAGAAGAGTTCCAAGAAGAACTCGAAGAAGAGAAAAACGACGGATGAGGAATCACCGGCGGTTGATTTTGTTGGAACCGTGGGAGTTGCGGAGGAGAATGAAGTAGAAGCACTACAAGAAAACACGTCCTTTACTAGGACGGGTTTTCCTCGTTATTTCCTAGTAAAGGGCCCTTTACTAGGAAATAGCGAGGAAACGTGTTTCGTCGAAAGACGTTCATCGTAAAGGCTATTTTCCTCGTAAAGGCCTAGCTAATTTACGAGGAAAGTTTTCCTCGTAAAGCCGTGGAAAACATTTCCTCGTAAGC